AGGGGAGGCTATACCACTAGACCCTACAGGACACCTACTAAATCAGCCACACTACCAACACACAGAGTCAAAGAAATTCTACCTAATACATAGAAACAAACACAGGGAGGCTGCCAAAATGAGGAGACAAGGAAACATGGCCCAAATGAAAGAACAGATCAAAGCTCCAGAAAAAGAACTAAACAAAATGGAGATAAGCAATCTATCAGGTGCAGAGTTCAAAACACTGGTTATAAAGATGCTCAAGGAACTTAGTGAGGACCTCAACAACATAATATCCAGTCAGAAACAAAGGATGCACTAAGTGAAATGAACAATTTACAGAGAAACAACAATAGCGTGGATGAAGCCAAAATCAAATCAATGATTTGGAACACAAGGTAGCACAAAACAACCAATCAGAACAACAAAAAGAAAAAAGAATTTTAAAAAATGATCATTACGTAAGCAGCCTCTGGGACAACTTCAAGTGTTCCAATATTTGCATCACAGGGGTGCCAGAAAAATAAAGAACAGGAAATTGGAAATCTATTTGAAAAGACAGTGAAAGAAAACTTCCCTAATTTGGTGAAGGAAATAGATATGCAAGTCTAGGAAGCACAGAGAGTCCAAAACAAGATGGATGCAGAGAGGCCCACTCTAAGACATATCATAATTAAAATGCCAAAAGTGAAAGATGAAGAGAGAATCTTAAAAGCACCAAGAAAAAAGAAGTTAGGAACTACAGGGGAGTTCCTATAAGACTGTCAGCTGATTTCTCAAAAGGAACTTTGCAGGCTAGAAGGAAAAGCAAGAATATACAACCAACATTACTCTATTCAGCAAAGTTACTATTTAGAATCAAAAGGCAGATAAAGAGCTTCCCAGACAAGAAAAAGCTGAAGGAGTTCATCATCACCAAACCATTATTATGTGAAATGTTAAAGGGACTTATTTAAGAAAAGAAGATCAAAACTATGAACAACAAAATGGCAATAAAAACATATCTATCAACAATTGAATCTAAAAAACAAACTAAGCAAACAATCATAACAGAAACAGGATCATAGATATAAAGAATGGTTTGATGGCAGCCAGACAGGAGAGGGGATTGGGGAATAGGTTAAAAGGTGACAGGATTAAGAAGCACAAATTGGTAGTTACAGAATACTCAGGGAGATTTAAAGTGTAGTATAAAAAATAGCAAAGTCAAAGAACATATGTGAATGACCCATGGACATGGACATAGATGTGGGGATTGCCTGAGAGAGTTGGGAGTGCTGAGTAGAAGGGGGCAAAGGGAGCAAACTGGGGAAATTGGGACAATTGTAATAGCATAATCAATACAATGTATTTTTAAAAACCATCATCAAGATGAAGCTAGGGAATGTTATTTAAGTGAAATAAGTCAGAGAAAGATAAATATCATGTGATTTCACTTACATGTGGAATCTAAACAACAATATAAATGAACAAAAAAAAATAGAAACAGATTCAACACATAGATACACAGAATATAGTCATGGTTTCCAGAGAGGACAGTTTAGAGGGAGGCTGAAAAAGGTGAAGGGATGAGAAATACAGACTGGTAGTTACAAAATAATCATGGGAATGTTAAGTATAGCATAGGGAATAATTTTAATAATATTGTAATTATTATGTATGATGCCAGGTGGGTTGTGAAAATATTGGGGGAAACACTTAGTAAAGTATATGATTGTCTGACCATTATGCTGTACACCTGAAACTAATACAAATAATATTGAATATAAAATGTAAATGAAAAATAAAATTAAAAAATAAATAGATAAGTACTCTTATAAGTAACAACAACAAAAGCACCATCAAGAGAGTGAAAAGGCCAAGCACAGACTAGAAGATATTTGCAACACAATATAACTGACAAGCAAGTCATATCCAAAATCTATATAGGACTCCTAGAAATCACTAAGAAAAAGGCAGGCAACACAGTATAAAGTTAGACACAAGACAGATACTACACAAAAGAGAATATCCAAATTACTAATAAATATGTAAATCCAGACTAGAACTACAGAGTTGCATTACGTCCACTGATCAAAATAAAAAAAAATTGAAAGACTAACAACATCAAGTGTTAGAAAGAATATGGAACAAGAGGGACATAAAATGCTGGTGGGAATTTAAATTGCTATAAATACGTTCACAGCATCTAGTAAAGATGAACACCTGAGTACCACATAATCTAGCAATTGCACCATGAGACATAAACAAGAATAGTCACAGAAACCTATTGTTGATAACCCCAAACAAATCAAATCTCTGTCAAGGTTAAATGTGTGTATGAATGGTGTCATACTAATGCAATGGAATACTACACAAATTACATCTACAGTCAGCCGCATGAAAAAAATTTCACAAACATAATATTGAGCTAAAAACAAAGCCAGTCATAAAAGAGAAAACACTGGACATTTCCATTGACATCAAGTTCAAAAGCAAACAAACCCTAACTATAGTGATAGCAGCCAGTATAGTGCTTACCTCTGGAAAGCAGGAAAAGTCAGCAAATGCTAAGGTTGCCACATAAAATACAAGATGTTCAGTTAGATTTTAATTTCAGATAAACAAGTAATCTTTTAGGATAAGTAGGTCCCATGCAATATCTGGGATATGTGCTTTTCTTTGCTGAATCTGACTTTAGTCAAGGGGGATGCTTTCAGAATGCTGGCAATATTTTTATTTCTTGATATTCCTTCTATGATCATCCATTGTGCATTCTTCTATATGTGTTGTACTTCACAATAAAAAAAAGTTTTGAAAAAATGCTCAATATCGCTAGCCATCGGGGGCATGCAAATTAAAACCACAATGAGATATCACCTGACACTTGTCAGAATAGCTATCATTAACAAATTAACAAAACAACAAGTGCTGGCAAGGTTGTAGAAAAAAGGGAATGCTAGTACACTGTTGGTGGGAATGCAGACAGGTGCGGCTACTGTGGAAAACAGTATAGAATTTCCTCAAAAAACTAAAAATGGATCTGCCTTTTGACCCAGTGAGTCCACTGCTGAGAATATACCCTAAAAATCCTGAAATACCAATTCAAAAGAGATTATGCACCCCAGTGTTCATAGCAGCACAATTTGCAATAGCCAAGTGTTGGAAACAGCCTAAGTGCCCATCAGTAAATGAGCAGATTAAAAAAAACTGGTAAATTTACACAATAAAGTACTATGGAGCAGAAAGAAAGAAGGAACTCATACCCTTCAAGACAGTGTGGATGGAACTGGAGAGCATTATGCTAAATTAAATAAGCCAGGCAGTAAAAGACAAATACCATGTGATCCCACCTATGAGAGGAATTTAATAGACAAAATAAATAAGCAAAAGAGAACCAGAGACATAGAACCATGTGACAGACTAACAGCTGTAAGAGGGGAGGAAGGAATTGAAGGAAGGTGAAGGGACTAGTCAAAGAACATATATGAAGGGCCCATTGACATGGACAATGCTGTGGGGATTGAATACAGAAGTGGAGGATGGGCTGGGTGGAGGTAGCAAAGGGGGAAAAAGTGAGACAACTGTAATAATATAAACAATAAAATACTTTTTTTAAAAAGAAACTGCCATATAAAAGCAAAAGTACACTCAGTACAACCTTGCAGATTTTAAAATGTCTTATCCACCACTTTTTTCCCTTCCCACTCTTAATCACTGCATGTGAGAGCTGTGGTACTTGCACAGGAGGTAGGCATTGGTAATTTGAAGTGTTGCTGGGCACAAAGCTGTGGGCTCTGCTTTCAATTTTTATTACAATTACTTTTACACAGCATGCTTCTTTACTTCTGGAATCTTTTTTTTATGCTCTGCCTTTCAGGGGTCTTTCTTATTTGTGTGGCTGGCTTAATCTTACCAAAAGGCAATGCTAGGCCGTAAGACCATCCTCTTACAATCAGCCATGAAATGCACAAACCAGTGTTCAAGAAGCAAGTTGGAGTGGTCAGCCTCCCTGTAGGTTTTGGAATGCAGTGGGCTGAAGCTACAAAGATAACTTGTACTTTAGAGCCCACAACTTAGATTCAGACATTGTTCATAATCCGTAAAATCAAATGCTTCAATCTGGCACCTGCTTTCTAAACTTACCAGAGGTTTACACAAATACGTTGAATGTCTCCATCTAGTTCACTGTCATCCATATGTTACCTACCTTCTTCCTACAGACACAACTGGAAAACCCAAGTAGAGATTAGTAACCAGTGTGAACAAAAGCCTGAGTCAATTTTCTGCTGTTGTTTAAATCATGCTATTTATTGGCAAAAGTCTTTTCATGCTCAGGAATTTTTATGTTGTTGTGTTGTGTTGTTTTGTTTTATACCTTCATCATTCTTATTTTAAAATGAACTCTTCCAAATTCTAAATAAAGATAAACTCATCCAGGTTAGGGTGTCATCTCTTTATAAAGGAACCCTTACCCATCTGGGCCCTACCAGCCTTGGGAGTGCCAGGTTTCTTCATCTTAGTAACAAAAACTATATTTACCTGTTTCACACAGGGCTGTGTGAACAGGTTGCCTGGAAGAAACCCAGCTTCATCACTGAGACTGCATAGCCTTGGCCAGTGCCTCAGTTTCCTCAACTGTAAAATGGGAATAAAAACAGTACCTAATACAAAGAGATGTTGAGAGCATCAAATACTATGTAAGGTGATTAAAGCACAGCGCTTTCACACATCTTAAGCGCTCGCACATGATTGTTATCACTACCATTTACTACCTTCAAGGGTCCTCCCTCCTTAAGGACTCTAGTTATGTATCTAACATAGGTAAGAAAAGCATCCAGCAGCAGTTGAAGAGATGGAGGAAGCGGAAGCAGAGAGTAAGGGATTCCACCAACCCTCAAAGTTTGGTCCAAGTTGCACCCAATTCACAGAAGGCGAAGCAGCAGGAAGAGATCTACAGTAGGGGTGGGGGAGATGGCCACACCTAGGACCCCAGACCTCAGCTGCGACTCCTGACCTAGGGCGCCCTCACTACTCACGTTGCGGTTGAAGCCGTAGCCAGGCAGCAGCGGCAGGGCCATGGCTCTGAGTGTCTGAGGGACAAGGGTCTCAGAGGAAAGGGGCTAGCAAGCAGCGGCCGCAGCGCGGCCTGCCGCTTTGTTTGACACCCCTCTACCGCCACCACGTTACCTAGAGACAGGAGGCGACGTCACGGAAGAGGGTGGGGCTGCAGCGGCGCGGGGTGGGGGGGGGGCCTCTGGGAGGGGCTGGAGTGGGCGGGGCTAAGCGCGTTGCTCAGCACAAGCACTTCACCCTTCTCCCTCTTGCCCCGGTACCGTCCCCCGGGGCTTAAATCTGCAAAAGCTTTGTGCAAACACAAAGAAAACTACACCGTTCTCCAGCCCCGCCGCTTTCTAGCTTAATCGCTTTATAGAGCTCAAAGCCTTTTGCGGACTTCAGCTCCTTAGAATCTTGCCACTACATTTTTTCCATTTGGTTACTAAATTTAGTTCAAATACACAGAGAAGTGCAGAAAATCATATGAGACCCGTGTGCTCTCAGAAATGTAACACCAGTAAATGTTACATTTCCATCAGTTTTTATTTTGTAATTAAAACTTTCCAGATGAATTCAAAGCCAAACATATCTCATCCGTCCCTCCCGGCCTCTCCTCTCCTCCCCATTCAGCGGTAACCGCTATCCTCGGCCCTTCCACAGTCTGTTCTATACTTGCAGTAAACATTTATAAGGTGCTCATTCCTGATCCAATCAGGGTGGCCAAGGGCGGGGGTGGGTGACACAAAACACTGCCTCTGTCACACCGAAGACGGCAGGCCAGGAGCTTCCTCAATTCTCCCCACACCTACAGCTAATTCTTCCCTGAGTCCTACTGGTTGGACAAGATGGTGTCTCTCAGTCACTACCTCCTTTGTCTCAGTTGAGGCTCGGTTAGTTCTTGCTTGATTTTCTCTTTTTCTTTTTTTCTTTCTATCTCTCTTTCTTTCTGTTTCTTTTTTGGATAGTTCATATTTTATTGTATTTTTTCATTACCATTTATCCCCCCCCCATCCTCTTCCACCTCCCCCAACTCCCCTCCCTCTCTATTTTTAAATATATAGATTTTAAAAACCTAACTAATCTTCCCTCCAGAGCCATCTCCCATAATTTATGATGCCCATGTTACTCTTCTGTTTCAATATCCCTCTAGCATTCCTGCCACCTTCAGGAGGCAGGGAAACTCCTTAGCCCAGTCAGAGCCTATGGCTGGAGGTGCCTTCCAATACCGTTTCTTTGCCACCCACATCCTCTATTCCAGTTCTGAGAAACCACTGTCTGTTTCCAAACCAGGATCTGCAGTTTCTCACATTTGGAATTTTGCGAATGTCACTATCTGCTAGAAATACCTTTCCTTTCTATTTTTCACCTGGGTAACCCCTTTTGTTCTTCCAGGACTTGGTTCAGTGTGGGAGAGAGTCATGGAAAACTTTGCTGTTTCTGGAAAGTGTTCCTTCACCTCCACTCCCCCATCTGTATTTGGTGCCCATTTGAATTGTGGCTCTCATGCTTTATATTATAATCATGTGTTTACTTGCCTCTCTTCATATGTCCCCAAAATTCTCCAGGACAGGGACTCTATCTCCTTTTTTTATTAATAAACAGCATATATTATTGTTTCCTGTGTTTATAAATTTCACAATATAAATTTTTGCCAACTGCTTTTTTTGCCTAAGATTTGTTTTCAAGACTTCTATATGTTAACACATTTAGATACATTTAGCTCGTCTTAAATGTATTGATGTCATCTACTGATGTCATCTGTTGATGACAATTAGGTTGTTTCCAATATTTCACTAAGTTCCCAACAATGCTGCAATGAGCAACCCTTTCCTGTTCCTTTGAAAATTATCTAGCCTAAATTCCTGGAGGTGGAATTGTCCACACCTTCAACTTCACTTAGATTTTGCTAAACAATCTCCAGAAATGTTGAACAAGTTATGAAAGTTCTCCTTCCCCTTCATCCATTCAACAGCTATTATCAAGTTGTATAATTTTGAATAATCATCTAAATAAATATGTAATAGTGTAGCACTGTTACTTTAATTTGCTTCTAATTCCTAGTGCAATTGGTCATCTTTTCATATGCTTGTTCATTTGTAATGTTTGTAATATATTCTGGATAAAAATGGTAGGCATAGCAAATATATTCTCATCATTTGTGGTTTGGTTTATTATTCAATTTGTGGAGTTCTTTATGAATGTGTCATTTTACCCTACTCAAATAGATCATTATTTCCCATTATGATTTGTACTTTGTATGTGAATTTAAAAATCCTATGGAACAAAATTATTCTCCTACATATTCTAACAAATATTTTTAAATATTTTTGTTACTTTTTAAATTGAAATAATTTCAAACCAATAGAAAACCTGCAAGAAGGAAATTCCCAGACATTCCATGCAGCAACATCTTCACTGATATGTCCCCTAAAGCAAGAGACATAAAGGAAAGAGTAAACAAATGGGATCTCATCAAATTAAAAAGCTTCTGCATAACTAAAGAAAACAGCATTAAAATGAAAAGAGAACCAACAATATGGGAAAACATATTTGCCAAACATACCTCAGACAAGGGTTTGATCTATACAATATATAAAGAACTCACACAACTCCACTTCAGAAAGACAAAAACTCCAATTAAAAAATGGGCAAAAGACTTGAATAGACACTTCTCCAAGGATGACATACAGAGGGCCCAGAGACATATGAAAAGATGCTCAGCATCACTAGCCATCAGAGATATGCAAATTAAAACCACAATGAGATACCACCTCATACCAGTCAGAATGGTCATCATAAACAAATCAACAAACAAGTGGTGGAGAGGATGTGGAAAAAGGGGGAACCTAGTGCACTGTTGGTGGGAATGCAGACTGGCGCAGCCCCTGTGGAAAACAGTATGAAATTTCCTCAGAAAACTAAAAATGGAACCACCTTTTGCCCCAGCAATTCCACTGCTGGGATTATACCCTAAGAGCCCTGAAACACCAATCCAAAAGAACCTATGCACCCCAGTGTTCATAGCAGCACAATTTATAATAGCCAAGTGCTGAAAGCAACCTAAGTGCCCATCAGTAAATGAATGGATCAAAAGATTATGGAACAGCCCTGGCTGGTATTGCTCAGTGGATTGAACTCGAGCTGCAAACCAAAGAGTCGCCAGTTCAATTCCCAGTCAGGGCACATGCCGGGGTTGCAGGCCAAGTCCCCCAGTGGGGGCTACATGAAAACCAATCACACACTGATGTTTCTCTCCCTTTCTCCCTCCCTTCCTCTCTCGCTCTAAAAATAAATAAATAAAATTCTAAAAAATTAGAAAAAAAACTGCTATCATTAAAAAATGCTATGGAATATTTACACAATGGAATTCTATGCAGCAGAGAGAAAGAAGAAGCTTATAGCCTTTGGGACAGCATGGATGGAAACTGGAGAGCATTATACTAAGTGAAATAAGTCAGGCAGTGAGGGACAAATACCATATGATCTCACCTTGAACTATAACATAATCAACAAAAGAAAAAAGCAAACAAAATATAACCAGAGACATTGCAATTAAGAACAATCTAACAATAGCCAGAGGGGAGGGGGGAAGAGGTGGTGGGGGAAAAGGGTTTTCAGGAACTACTATAAAGAACACATGGACAAAACCAAGGGGGAGGGTGGAAGGACAAAACCAAGGGAAGGGTGGAAGCAAGAGAGGGAGGTGGGTTTGGCTGTGGTGGGGGGGAGTCGTGGGGGAAAATGAAGACAACTGTAATTGAATAATAATAAAGTAATTTTTAAAATAAAAAAGAAAAATAAAGAAAAGCTACAAGAATAGTATGAACAACTCCTGTTTGCTCTTTACCCAGATTCCCCCCATTGTTTTGTATTTTACCATATTTGTTTCATCATTCTCCCTATATATACATTTTTTTCTATTTTAGAGTAAATAGGCCTCATGCTCCTTTGCTCCCTAATATTTCAGTGTATACTTACTAATAACAAGAATATTCTCTTACATACCTAAAATATAATACCCAAAATTAGAAAATTAGCATTAATAAAATATTATTTTGTAATCTAAAATATTCAAGTTTTGTTGATAATTGCAAAAATGTCATTTTTAGCAGAAAAAAATAATTTAAAAATCTGAATCTCATCCAAATGGCTTTTTATTTATGGCTTTTCAGCAGGAACACCACAGAGGGAATGCTGTATCCTTCTCGTTCATCAAAGGAGCAGCTACATAGTGTGTTTTTTAACCATCAATGGTAAGGTTAACTTTGATCACTTAGTTAAGGTGGTGGTATATGCCAAGTTTATCCACTATAAAGTTATTATTTTTCCTTTGCAATTAATAATAGTTTCGTGAGTAGATATTTTGAGACTATGTAAATACCAAGTTCTCATTAAACTATTATCAATTGAAAATCCTCATGTTGCCAAAATCACCATGTTGCCAAATGGTGATTAACTCCATTCCTTTTACATATATTAGTTGGCATTCTACTACAAGGAATAAATTTTCTTTCTCTCTATTTATTTATTCATTCATTCATTTATAATGGTCTACATGTTCTTGTGTTATTCAGTGGATTATAATCTGTTACTATCATTCTTTATTTTGATGCCAAAATTATCTCACATTTGATCAGTGATAGTCCCTCTAAGCTGACTCCTCTCTCCTTTTGTCATTTTTCAAGCATTTCCATGTGCTCTGTCACTACAAGGTATTAGACATATCTATCGAAATATTCATAGGTAGATATTGATCTGCGCATATTGATATAGATATCTTTCCATTTTTCTCTGTAAATAGATAGATGTAGATACATGTAGAAATAAGTATATTAAAACCCATGAGTTTATATTTATAGTCCAATTCCAATCAGCAAATCAGCACAATAGAGTGCATGCTCCAGTTCCCTTTTCCACATCTGCACTCCCCTTCTCAAACCATGAGAAACCTAATTCCAATTACCCTCAAAATATTTACTTGCTCACACTAAAAGACCCCAAAATCAGTTTCAGAATATCTAATTCATGTCATATTGACAAACAAACCTACTAACTAGAGTTCAATATTTGTTTTCATGTTTTCTTCTAAAATCAAAGTCTTTA